GGGGGGGGGGGGGGGGGGGTACTCCCTTATAAGGGCTTAATGGGGACGTGCGGCCAGCATTGTCATGAAACTCCTGGCATGTAGCCTGAATAAGCTAAGCAAATAAAGCATATAACGAGAAATGTTCGTCAAATGGTCTCGTTAAGTAAATTATACTTCACTTTGCGAAAGAAATTTATCGCTTGTATCTGTGTTACGCATCGAAAAAGCGAGGAGTCATCGCATGACGTTAGGTCACAGAGGTAATACTGACGGGTTTCACGAATTCCAATTCCACGATTTTTCACGAGTAACAAGTTTAAAACTTCAATTCGTACCTTACAGTTGTCGGTTCATTTACCTTACATTCGCCAACACTAGTAAACATGAACAAAACGATGAAATCCGGCACTCTTCTTTCAGAAGTAGCAAGCCGCATGAAGTAAAATCCACCGATATGCGACGCATTCTCACTACAAATATAAACATTTGTCGTGGAGAAGATACGACAAGGAGGAAAAAATGTCAGATCTTCGCCTCGGCAATGTATTCCAGCTACCAAGCCGGCGTATCTTCAGAAGGTGGACTCGAAGGGGGACAAACCTTGTGATTTTTTTAGATGCCCTTTGCGCGCAAACTAATTTATTCTGGCGCGAAATGAAGATTAAGAAACTGTATCTGAAATCTAATACACGACAAGAAAATTTTCGCACTTTCGAGGAGCGCGACATATTAAATGGGATTAAGTCGGATTAACTGCCCGCGGAGAAAACATCCCTGCGTGGGATTGTACTTCCAGTAAAAAGCCTCTGTGTCGTCTCATGCAGTTGCCTCCATTAGGACATGGTAGGCACTTTACGTTGTGCTCCATTTGCAGACCTCTACTTGAGCCCCTTGTTATACTGTACGTGCTTTTAGAGCAGGGCTTAGTAAGAATAGAGAACCATGTTACCCACGTGGTCTTCTTGTTGATGGTTTCCCAGGGTGGAAAGTTATGGAATATCAGCTTGCTTCCTACCGGGGATTGAATTTTCACGGAATGATCCATAGAAACATTGTCTGCACCCTCAACAAAGATTAGACCTTCTCCGTCATAACTGAGGGGATCAGAAATAAACGAGCTCTCGGTAACACTTATGTTTCCAAAATTTGTTACCTTTAAGAAGCCATGATATGGCTGGTCTTCTGTTGTGTTAAAGATGTTAGACTTTTCCGACTGGTAAAACTTCGTTTTGAAAATTGTTAATCTGGTGGAACGTAGCTGAACTGCCAAATGTGATCCGTAGTCGCCTCCAAAGTTGTTTTTAAAAGAAGAGTTTTCAATTCGCACCACATCAGCGTTAACTATTGATAGCGCGCTTTTTGCGACACCAGAATTTCCACGAAACATGGTGTTGTTCATGGCTACTATTGCACCTGAACTGATCACACTGGTATCCAGGCAAAGGTCAGACGTACCAGAAATCTCTACCACCCCTGACTGGCAGAAATTGTTCTCGAAGGCACTCCCTTGAAAACGCAAGGAATATGGCGATTGATTCATAGACACGTGGAAAATATTACTTTTCCCTCTGCAGTTTCTTAGGATCGAGACATTGGTTAGCTTAAAACTTGCGTTCCTCTTAATTCCTGCGTTGAGACTTATCATAAAGTTGTCATTGTCGCTTATCAAAGTATTCTCCAAGGATACGTCACCCGCATGTGGAAAGGATACCCCTCCCCAAAGTTGTGTTGAATGGTACAAGAATCGATTTTCAAGAACCCTCGGACCTGTACCAAAATGTCGTTTTGGGCGAGAAAACTTGGAAAACTGGCTTTGTTTCTAATAAACATGGTGTTTTGTATTGTCACACGCGCTTGGGGTGACGTTAACAAAACTAAATGCAAGGTCCTTGTCTCTACAGCGCCTGAATTCCTAATGAATTCACTGTTAAGGAATAAAATGTCTTGATAAAGTGTTCCCAACACCATAACGTATAGAGCTCAACCAATTTTGTACTCGGCAGCATTTTCGACGAAACTCGTGTTTATAAGTAGGAGATCCTTCATGTAATCCACATAGAATGCCATGGCTCCACCCCCGCCAAGGCTAAATAAATGATTCAAATTGTAAATTTTATTTCCAGTGAAATTTGAATCGTGAATATTGATAGTGGCATTGTTTAGATAAGAATCCATTGTTCCAACAGCCAACGCGCCACCAGATGTACCAGAGCCTTCGTTTTGAATAAAATGACATCTTTTGATGTCCAGCTTAAGCAAATTTAACTCAGTGAATGCGCATGCGCCACCGTTAATCCCCGCATGGGAGCGAAAAAGTGTCCTCGACATGAAAACGAGGGCTTCTTGTCTGAATCCTGTCACACTTAGGGCTCCTCCATCTCTATCCTTTGTACTTTGCCATGACTTTGACTTTGCCATGTTATTTTCAAAAAACGTACACCTAGTAATTTCAAGTTGAACTGAGTTTCCATCACAAATGTTGATAGCCCTGCCAATGTTTTACCTGAAGTGAATCTTCGTTAAGTTTATGACAGAAGTGCCTCTGATGTCAATCACACTTTCTCTTGCACAGTTATTGTCAATACTCCCCAACTTCATCTGCATTATTATCAGTCCATTTCTTCCCGATCGAATTTCCACACATGCTTTTCCAGAACAGTTGTTTCTTAAGACATTGGTATTCTTTAAGTTAACTTGAATTTGAGCGGACAAGCTTTGCGGTGAAATACTCAGGAGCGCGCTCTCTAAGCTGTTCATACGGAGCTTATTTTCAGTGAAGAACGTATCTGTTATGTTCAAGTTCACCGAATCACCGCGAATCTTGATACCACTGCCACTGATGTTGTAGAACGTGCACCCAGAAATACTAATAGTTCCAGTGAAACCACGTGAAAAATTAAGAGAAAAAGCGCCATTAGAACTATTAACAAACATGACCCCTGACATCTTAAGAGAACAATCGACAAGATTCAGGGAGGTATTTACGAAAGTGATTCCCTCCAAAAAGATACCGCCAGAAGAGCTGTTTCTGAAATCACAAGAAAGTTGCAAGCTTTTGCGTCTACAAGCAACAAAAGCTTGAGTTGTGTAGCTGGCAATCGAAATACCCACTATGTTCTGTATGTGCATTCTTGTGTCGACATCGCAGACGTATGGATCACGTGACGTTCCCGACTCGTCGATGTTGATGACGTAGCCTTCGTGCGCAAGCGTAGTTGCTTGGTAGATATGTTTACAAGGGTGAGACTTTACTCGGCCACAACCGTCTTCAACAGTTCCATTGAGTCTAGATACGTACCACTGACTCGCAGAGACACCTAGTCAGCTTAAACCAAAACAAGAGACTGATAAAGGCTTTATTTTACCTTTTTAATATGTAACGGTATATTGTATACCGCAGTCCATCATCCCAGAGAGTCCATCTCTTATGCAAGGCCTGGGTACTAGCGTCGAAGACATTCAGACTATTTATAGTTTCATTTTAAGCCCCCCTCCCCCTCCCCCCTTTGCTATATTTTCATCTTAGCTTGCTGGACCCTGCGGTTGTTGGAGTCTGAAGTTTATTCGGGCGTACTTTCTTTTCAAGATAGTTTTTATTCCAATTTTTTTGACAGTCCTGTCTTTTGCCTTACTTCTTATATGAGTTTGTCATACCACACTTAAATGTCTGTGGGGCAATCAAAACTTCCTCTTATAAAGACTCGGCGTTTATTTGAGGAAGGGTTTTTTACTTCCGTTGTAGCGTTACCCACCCCCCCCCCCCCAAACGTACTTTAAAAAATATAAAATAAAAACAAAAAGAAATCTCTCAGTCTCCCCAGGCCCCTCTCCCCCACTCTAAAAAAAGCAAAATAGAAAAAAAAAACAAACAAACAAACACAAGGAAAATTGAACAAAAAACTGAGATTTCTGTTCTGGCGTAGCGTAACGGTGCTCTCCCGTTTTCTAGGAGCCCGCAGGATGGTTCGTTTAAATATATATTTTCTGTTTTATTCTTTTGTTTACTTCTTCCTCGCCTTGCAGTAAGGATCAGTTTGCCGTTTTATGAATTTCACCTGCTGCGGTATTGCAGTCTTTGCAAATTAACGCCGCTTGGCCTCTTGAAGCATTTATCCCTTTTAACCGTGGCTTATCAAAATACATACACATAAGTAATCAGCCCACAAATGAGATATACCCACCAAAAAGCCAAATTGACAACCACAAGAACAGCCGAACATCCATTAGAGGGTCTCAATGGGGTGGTCGCTTTTACGGTTATCGGCTAAAATTTTGGCTCTTTTACGGCTATCGGTTAATTTTTTTCAGTTACGGTTAACGAAAAAGTTAAAAATTAACTGCTTTTGTTTCAAAAAGTTAAATATTAATTTACCTGTATTTTTTTGTATTTTTAAATCAAAATAAAGGTCTTCCGATCATCTCGGGATGAAATAAGCTATTCTTTTGAAAAATTTTCACATTTGATATATCATACTTTTAATAAAGTATTCCACTTCTAATATTATTTACACATAGAAATATCAATAGTCAATTTAAAAATGATCTTTGTGAAAAAGCAAAAGCAGACAAGCGAGCGCCCAACTCAAGGCCGGGGCGACATTAATTATAACAGAAATGGCCGTTTTCACACTAGAGAAGGATTATTCGTGTGAGATGGGCTATTTGTTTGATGATTCACGTCAGGTAGGTAATGTACGTCTTAATTTGAAAATGGAATAGTTTTAATTTTGAGTGAACAATCCGCCTGACTTTTGAAGACGGGATTATCCGTTCCAGGTTGCCTGTGTACAGCCGCCCCGGCTCACCTCAGAAAAAAAGCGGAGAAGGGGTGTCTGTGGGGAGGGCGCGACTGTACACAGGCTAGTCTCGGACGGATGATCCATTTCTGGCTCTAGTGTGAAAACGGCCAAAAACAAAATTCCCGTTTCCAATGTTTTTAAGGATAGCGAATCACTGTACGGAACGACTGTCTGCCGTTGCCTTGTCCGTAGGCCGCATTATTCCGCGCTGGGTCACTTGGTCCGAGTGAGTTCCCCACCGAAATGCCTTGGCCGAGACTGCGTGGGAAGACGCCGTACAGGGACTAGGGATAGCAATGTCTACCTTAGCGTCAGAGAAAAACAGGGAAATGTTGTTTATCGGCAACGTGTTTTACAAACAGTGACGTCTCTGCGTGCTGTTTCACTAGTGTTTCGAGGGCACGACCTCCCGAAAATTGCAGATATTAATCTCCAGCAAGAAGCCACACTTTCGCTATGGAAAAAATTAGTTCCCCGATAGAGCGCCGGAAATGGAGCCTAGGTCTTGGTTAACGCCTGAAAGGCGCTTCGCCTTACGTGCGTACGGAGTCACACTAGCCGGGCAATAAAAAACACAACCATAAGTGAGTTTAGTACCTTCCTTAAAAGTAGCAAATCTAAGGAACACTTTCTTTTACGGTTAACTCTTTTTTACCCTATTTACGGCTAACGGTTAAAATTTTTCAATTTTTACGGCTATCGGCTAAATTTTTGGCCGTTTTACGCCTATCGGTTAATCCCATTGAGACCCTCCCATTAGTAACAGATCGAGTCAACGAACTCCCTCCAAATAACATTGTCGATATCTGGAACCGACCCACGCCGGAACTAGCCAGTTTAACATGAATGTTTCCCGATATAACAGGTAACTGCTGCCCGTTTTCCTGGGAAAACCCTGTCACGAGGACAGACCGAGGTAGATCACAAGACTGTAGATTCGGACCTCGCCCGTAAATTCTTTAACCGTAAAATCATGCGCGAAATGAGTAAAAATATACACCATATACTAAATACTATTTTTATGGCACTTAAGTTTTATATCACTTACCAAGTTTAATACTAAACGGGATTCTAAAAGAAAGTTAGAAAATCCGGTTAGTGCGACCCGGAAAAGGGACCGGAAGCCGGGTTCAAATAATGTAGAAAAACAAAAGATACTCAGAAAGCGTGGTTGCTAAACGCTCCGTTCAGAGTTGCAACTTGCAAAGAAGTACGGTTTAGCTGTTGAAAGGCTATGACTGTATGTGACAAGAAAATTTAAATGTTAAAGGATAATTCTCGCAAGCTATGCATCCCTCTTTAGCGCCTCATCTTCATGGCGACTGCCTAGAAATTATACAGCAACTGTATCGCTGTCACGAACAGGTTAGTAATTGACGTGTTGTGTTGTAAACACGTGCGTGCCTTCTTGGCCATGTCCTTGTGCTGTATACAATTTTTTTTTTTCGCCTTTCTTTACAGCATCCCGTTGGGAAATTCCTAGGCGAGTGCAATGACATCAAAAGAGCATTGAATAGGTGTTTAAAAGAGGAGGTATACATTAAAGTCTTTTTTATGTGATATCCATTTCACTTCATTAGTTGAGGGGAGATGTGTTATGTAATTCTAACTTTGAGTGCGAGGACGAAATTCTCTGGTTTTGCCATTTGGTAATATTTGAAGTAGAATTTTTAGAAAAAGAGGTTTTAAAATTTTGATTATGAACATTATCAGGGGAGTGAATGATAAATCAGTCAATAAATATGTTTATAAAAATTAATAATGATGAATAAATTGAGTTGTTGTTCATCCAGCTCAGTCTTGACTGAATTGAGTAACAAACTGTGATATAACAGAAATGAGAATATTTGTGAAATTATGGGGTTTGTTGTCATCCTCTAAATGCTTCTGTACCAAAAATCAGTGTGTTTGCACCAATTGACGGTGAGATACTAGCATCCTTATGTTCTGACAACTGCACGCAAATCCTTCAAAAGCCAGTTTTAGAGGATTTGTATGGAGTCATAAGTAACTATCTCTGCGCAGGTATTAGGTATAAGCAACAGGTCTGAGAGTAAAACCTCACCAAATTCATACATATAAAAGTAAAGGGAGAGTGGCAGTATACTGGCCCAACTACCAATCACGTGTACCATCTCTGATCACAATAATTATTGACTCCTTAGTTAGCCCGGGTAGTAACCATTTCCACGCAAGTTATTGCACATGTGCAAGAGTTTTCACATAACTCAAGTGGATGAGTAATAACTACGGCCGAAATGGTTGCTACACAGGCTACTTGCCAATTCTGATCCACACTTTATTGCAATAATATTTATTTAATATTGTTTGTTTTATACCTGACTATATCCCCCGGGATGACAGGCAAGGCTGCATGTAATATTTATGATGCTAAGAATATGATGTCTCCAAAGGAGACAAGGTCTTACTCATGCAACAGTCTTTCTTTAAATATTGTTCCCTTTTTTATTACAGGATTTAAGAAAAAGAAGGAGAAACCAAGAGGATGCAAAAAGAAGGAGAAAGACATTACAAGATTTGTGTTTAGAAAAACAGGAATAAGCACTAGGATTTATCAACAGAGTCAAACATCAGAGATGCCTCATTCATTTACAATTCCCGTAAGATAAAGAGATGTTGGCATTCAGATGAAAACCCATTTACAAATTACCTTCTGAAGCATTAGTCTTTCTAGATGACATGTGTGATTGTCAAAGTACTCTCTTTGACATTTTTATGACAATTTTTGTCAACAGTACAAATAACACCAGAACATTCTGAGTACCTTTAAAGTCATGCCAAGGGGATTACTATCAGACTGCAGGAATCTTAGCATGTTTGCACTGCTAAAATGGGTAAATTGTGAGGAGCATTGTCATGAATCATACTTACCCGTAACTAGTACGAGTCACAATTAAAAATGAACAATTTTTGTCACTAGAAATTGGATTTCTTTTTGTGATTACTTAGTATGAAAATGGTAACTAATATGAAAGTCTGAAATATTACATTTACAGTATTACCATTGTTAATACTGCACTTAAAATTTGAAGCATGTCATCTTTATAGTCTGTTAATTTCAACAGATCTACTTATACAGATACGTGCTCAGAAGAAAGCCCATTCCAACAATATTGAGTAACAAAAATTATTGTTGGTCAGCAACAAATACCAAAAATATTTGGTAAAAAGCTAGTTTTATCAGACCCTAGTAATGCTAGTTGTTGGATGTTCAGCAATGTTCTTGCACTGTTGAGTCAATTCCTGGGGTAGTAATATTACATTCCGCTGAAATAATATCACAACATTGTTGCCTGATATTTCTTGCAAACGACAGCAACTGTAATCTTTAATCATAGTGATCCCTAAAGTTCTGAAACTATAAAATTCGGGGAGCATAGCATGTTTCTTTCATGAATAGCTTACGTCACCAGCAGGGGTCATCTGGCACTGCTGGAACACAGCTCTGTTGTTGTGTGAAGGACTTGGCTTAATATGATTGACAGTTATCTTGCAGTCTAGCGATCCTCACCGCAAAAAATAAACATAAATTGAATGTTATTGATCCTTAATTCTTTATGATGTGGCAGTCCATTGATGCAAAATTGATTTTGACAAAGAAAAAGAACAACTTGGAATACACTTCAATATGTTGATTGACCCTGAGTACCTTCTTTGAGGTTTAATCTACTGAAAATGTTATTGTAGTCTCTACGATAACTGAGGAGCCAAAGAAAGGTAATCAGTTTACTACAACAAGCGGAAATTAACTGAATTCACTTTGCAAACTTATACCCAGAGTTCTTTTAATTTGTTAACATGTTCCTAGCAATCATGTCAACATGTCAACTTTAACCAAGTAAAAATTCTTCCACAATGAAGGGCTGGCAAAACATTAGTTGGGCTCTTGTGTTTTTTTCTTTACAAGTAGCTCAATGGTAAAGTAAAGTTTCGTGGCTTGTTAAGAAAAATGACAGACTGAATACAGTTTGCGCTAGCTTCTTGGAGCCCCACCAGGGGCTAGTAAACTGAGTTAATTAATTTCTTGCAGTTTGGGCAAGCTGATTTGATTTTCTTTTGTGTGTGTCACCTTGTACAAATATAGTACAGCAATGGGGAGACATGTGAACTCTGTCAGTCTGAATCGAAGTATTGAGGTAGCCTATAAACTCAGCATTTATACTCTGGGTTCTTGCATCCTGCCATGTTGTGTCTCTTTCAAAGATTTTTGTTGTTTTTTGTCCATTATGCTTGCAATACTATTTACATTTTCCTTTCTTAATGCTTATGAATAGAACATGGAGATACTTCTGGGTTTCGAAATGGAGAAAACTGGGGAAACCTGGAATACTGAGCAAAAAATTTCACCCAAATACTGGGTCACATCTTAATACGGGATACTGATAATGAGATCTATTGGGTGTCCCCACCTCTCCTCCCCCTTCCCCCTCCTCTTTACTGGGATAAGTAACATGAGCGTTTTAAAAAATATTCATTTTTAGCATACACTGTACCACGGCAATTTGATCGGATATTTGAATGACTCACAGTCAATCAGTTGATGCCAACCGTGTTGGAACTAACTTCGTTGTCCTTATCAGCAGAAAAGAATAATTTCTTTTACCATGAATAAGTTCGTTAAAGGATTCTTGTCTTTGCTGGTAAATGGAGCGAGTTTTACACTGCATATGGTAGAGCTACCAGGGATTAGCGCCGATAGAAGTGGTGCGTGCTGTAACATTTTTATTTATTTACAATAATTGATTTTGAAGTGCTGGGACGATGAAGTGTTTGAAATTTGTTTTTGTTTATTGGGAAATTTTTTTTTTCGGATTAGAAAAAAAACACAATTTACAAACATTTATTTCTTGTTTTCACTGCTGTTAGTATTTTTGTTCACTTATAAACCTGTCGACTTGAAAAATGGTCATCTTATTTTAGTTTAGACTCCCGTTGTTATTCTATATTAATTATCAAAAAGTCCATCCGAGGAAGTAACAGCTTTTTAAAAAACATTGCGTGATTTTTTTTACCTAATAAGTGACAGGACAAAGAAATGAATCGAAAACTTCATTCATGTTCGGTGCAAAATAGATTTTTCTAACTTCTTTGAAACAAAATAAGGTCCGTTTGCAAAAGTAATTATACCTTTGTAAGATTTGCCCAGCTTTTTTGGGTGTTTTTTCTGTCCTGAAACGGCAGTGAAAAGAATAGAACCGTTATGAGTGAAACTCGAGAACTCAATATGTAAGTTGATTCATGGAGTTAAGTGCTACGTCTTCTCTTTGGAGCACATAATAGACTGACACCTTGATGTAGCCACAATAGTTCTGTATTTGTTTTTTAAGTCAACAGTTACTTCAACTCGTGCGACAAACTAAAATAATCAATCTAGTCCCTCTAGCTCTTTTGGCCACAAAAATGCCAAAATAGAGATGGTCAAAAGCAGATCGAGTTTTAAGGCAAAATTTCGCTTTTGCTCTTTTTTGCGCGTAGGTCTGTACTGAATTGGTGGTAGGTCCAGGCGCTCATATCTATTCAGGAAGGGTTGTTCGGACATCGGACAATTGCATTCATTGGCCAAACCGCCAGGTCCTTCCCTTGTACGCGGATCAAAGAACATCAGTCCCCTGATAATCTGCCTTTTTCGAGCATTGCCAGACCACAGGTCACAACATCAACCCATCCGATGTAAAAGTTCTATCTGACGAAAAAAACACCATCAAGAGCAGAGGCCATTGCTATTAATCAAGGGAAACCCCCCCTGAAAATGGATGAGGGACTGGACCTACCAGCAATTTAAAGTCCTCTCAACGCTGATGAAGTCCGAGTGATTCGGACGAAATATTCGCTCGTACCTTATTTTTTCGGTCTGAGTTTTGGAATTTCTGCACTAATTAATAATAATAATAATAATAATAATAATAATAATAATAATAATAATAATAATAATAATAATAATAATAAAAGAAGAAGAAGAAAAGGGCAATTTAAGAACCTACTAATTTTCGCTGAAATGCCTAAAAACGATGGTACTTACATTTAAACAATGATACAATTGCAATACTTGTAATTTGGATCTCTTGTTAAGAACAAGTACTTGCCTAAACTAAATATTGTAAAATTTTGCGTGATTTTGCAAAAAATGCAATATTCTGCAAGCGCCCCGGCGCTCGTACACATCGGCCATTCTCGTCACTACCCCATCGGTTGGCTTACGAGGACCATTAAAAAAAACCGACGGGCCCTGAGGACGAGAATGTACACATACGAACAGAGCTGCGCGCGCGTATTGAACTCACTGGAGCCCCTTTCGCTCATATTTTCCACAGGCGCAGTCAACGCAACATCCACCTCTCCACCCACCAAAACACCGCAAATTCGCCAAACCACAGACGGTGATGATGATTTTGTAGATGGAATCATCGGTGGAGCCATCGTTCTTGGAATGATTTTGATGATTTACGCATGTCACTCATGCTACATCCGCTTCTGCCGTAACCGACAGGATAACGCAGGCGCAATTCTTAACTTGCCAAATATTATGCAGTCACTGTCCCAGTTTCCCATCGGTCCTCCGTTTCTTCACAAAGATGATGGTATTACTTTAGTAAACCAAGACTGAACCACATTATTTTCAGTCAGAGGAGAAAGTATTTTTTGCGACCACTGGTTGGCTTGGCCTCTAATGTCAAACGTTCGAGGTGTTTGTTTTTTTCTGTTTTTTTTTTTTCTGTTTTATTGACTGGGATTTCATTTACCGGTGATTAGAAACATGTGTGTACAAAATACACTTCGTTAACGTAACAACCTGCTTATTGTTCTCAAAATATTGAGCTTCTTTCCGTTAAACATGCTGTGGACTCGAGAAAAATTATGCATAACTATAGAAATAAAACCATCACAATTTAAGGTGGCCCGTTCCTATTTATATGCGTGTTGGTTATGTTTTTGATTCGCGTTTTTCAGAAAAAAAGATTCAACCGATTTCTACGATTTTTTGCATCCTTAATAATGATGGAACTTTAAGAAAATGTTATTTATTTTCTTATAGGTATAAAAACTTTTGAGGTATCGGCATATGTTTAAAACCTCATTTTTACGAAAAATGAAAATAACTTCGAAATCCCACGACAGATTTTTCCCTAACTTCAGCAAATAAGCCTCAGAGCTCTCTAGTTTTATGTCTGCAAGTTTGAAGGCAATCGTGACCGTAGAAATCGCTCCACAAAAGGTTGAGTAAATTTAATGCTAAAATGATAGGCTAACACATTTGTGAACGTAAACGCACAAATAGCGAAAGAGAGCTGACAAACTACCTCTTAACTGAAACGTTGTTCTTACCCAAAGCATTGTTGGAAGAAAATGAGTAATCGGGCAACTACGGTGAACACAGTTAGCGCTTTAATACAACCAACTTTCTGCTACATGCGCGTTGAAATTAAATATATTCTATTTATTCAACTTACTCTGCATTTGTCCGTTCATTTTCGACAAAAATATTAAGAAAACAAAACACAGCATCTGCAGAAACCGCTTAGCCGTTTTAGCTTCAAAGGTTCTCGTTCTGAGGCGAAATAAGCCCGTTAGTTCGAGAACACCTCACCATCCAATTTTCAACTGCAATGACAACCCTCTCGCTCGATGATATATTCAAGGTCTCTGACTTTCCCATCACATGCTCACAAGCAGTATGCCACTTGGGGATAATAGTTATTATTCACATATGGAAATCTATTTACTATCATAATTATATCATATCATAGTGGCATACTGCTCGTGAGCATGTGATAGGAAAGTCAGAGATCTTGAACTTTGTTTTCATGGTTGCAGACAAGCAGATTGATCTGATAATCATTAATCTGTCAACGTCAGTTTGGCAGATGGAAATAAGTTTTGAACGATATGTAAAGGGTGCAGTGGGTGGTGTAGCGTGCTCCAGAAGAGCTTTGCGCGCGAGACTGCACTGGTGTTGAAGGAAAGAAGACCAAAGAATTCTACTTTTGTAGATTTCTTACTATTACAAAGCTTGATAAACTTTTTCAGTAATTTCAGGGAACGCTGGAGGTACTCCTTACAATACATTTTCTTAGCACTTCGCAGAGACGATGAGAGTGACAAATCAAGATTTTACGAGGAGTTTTCACTTGAAAGCCGCTAAACTTTTTGATACTATCCCCCTCAGGAAATTTTGTGACAAGGGGACAATACCAGACGTTCTGAAATACAAATTGCACAGCAGAACTACAGTTTTTCTCAGTCGAAAACTATTAATAAATACTATATACAATAATAAATACACAAGAAATCCACACCTGGGAAAAAATGAGTAGAATTTATACATATTTTACATTTTTTGGAATTTGGTACACTAAAGTATTCTTGCTTATGAAACTTGCGTCATCCAAACGACTGTGTTGAGTTCGCTGCCAAATTGTACTGAAGAATTACAGATTTTTCGGCAAAAAGTGGTAAAAACATATTTCAAAGATAACTGCAGCACAAATTAAGCTTAAAATGGTATACAATTTTACACGATAAGAAATTTGAACTTCCTCTCTGCATACCAGACGGCCGGTGGCGAACTTAGTATTCCGCGCGGAAAAAGAAAGCGGAAACTACTGGCGGGTGTATGACGGAAGACAACGAATCACCTGGACTTGTACTTTGTCGCTGCGGTGCCTGCAGTGGGGCTTACGTGCGGTTTCCATGCGGGCAGGAATATCCGGGGATTACTGACGGGTGCGTGACTGAAGACGTAACAGGATCAGTTATAAACGAATCACCTGGACTTGCACTTTGCCGTTGCGGCGCCTGCAGCGGGGCTCTCATGCGGTTTCCGTACGGGTAAGAATATCCGGGGATTACTGGCGTCTGCGTGACTGAAGATGTATTAGGACCACAAAAGTGCAGATCACCTGGACTTAAACCTTGTGGCTGCGGTGCCTGCAGTGCTGCTCTCATGTGGTTTCCGTACATGTAGGAATATCCGGGGATTAATGGCGGGTGCGTGACTGAAGACGTAACAGGACCACTAAGATGCGGATCACCTAGACTTGCACTTTGCAGCTCTGGTGCCTGCAGTGGGGCTCTCATGCGGTTTCCGTACGGGTATGAATATCTGGGGATCACTGGCGGGTGCGTGACTGAAGACGTAACAGGACCACTAATATACGAATCACCTGGACTTCTACTTGGCGGCTGCGCCTGCAGTGGGGCTCTCATGCGGTTTCCGGGGATCACTGGCATGTGTGTCACTGAAGAAGTAACAGGATTACTAAATTGAAGATACGGATAACTTGGGCTTGCACCTTGCGGATGAAATCCATACTGCGGGGATCTCAGCGTTTCATGAGGGAGGGGACTTTCCAAATTAACTGTCGAGAGGGTATGGGTTGATACGCCAGGACCAATGAAATATGGATCATCTGACATCGTGATTTGCGGTTGCACTCCATGAAGACGCGCTCCTTGCATTCCATGTGGGGGAAGAAATCCCAGGATTTCTTGCGCGAAAGCAACTGCGGGACCTTCGGGATTCAAATCACCCGGCATTGTATTTTGGGGCTGAACTCTCTGTTGTGGTGGATCCTGCATTCCACTCAGGGGAAGATATCCAGAGTGAACTGGAGGGAGAGCAACTGTAGAAATGCCAGAACTGCGGGGATACGGGTACCCTGGAAATGTACTTCACGGTTGCCATGCCTGCAATGGTGATTCCAACACTCTGTAACGATGAGGATGTTTACTGAAGGGTGCCAGGCTGTGGCTGGAGAAATGCGACGTAGGAATGGGAGCTCCTAGAGACAAAAAAAATAAAAATTAAGATCCCACAGGTTTACATAAAGGTGCAGTGTAAACGCGACAGGTGTCACACTCATGGTCTCCAAGCAGATTTCTCCTTTTCTAGCATTGTACGCCTTCTTAGATTATTTAACAATATTAGTAATTAAAGCAACGGCCACTTGAGTTGAGCATACACAAGAAAATGTCCAGTTTGGAGATATTAGAAGACAGACTTGTAGAAGAAAAGTGCCTTCAGCCCCAGTGGTTCAAAAGGTAAATAGTGCTATTCACTTGGTATCTCACTATCTAATGCATAAAGGTGTCGGTTTCTCAAATACTTATCCTCTGGTTAGTGATTTTTCTGGTGGATAGCGCTATCCAACTATTAAAAAAGAACCGGGCCTGTATCTGTGTATTGTAGTAAGCACGACAGGACCGTTTAATACAAGTTGCAACACTACGTAAAGTCCTGTACATTCTCTTATTGGTGGCCAAGTCAGTCACGGCGTTACTAGCCTTTTAAATTGCAGAATTTTGTTTTAGTTGCACCATGGATGGAAACCTTACCAGCAGAATGGAGAGGTACTGGAACTGGTCTCGCTGTTCTAGGATCGTGTGACGGCACGTCCTGAGTACTGGGGAGAGTGTCCCTCTAAACAATTGACCAAAGAAAGAATAATCAATATCGGTACGGAACCAAAGTAAACGTGTGATCTCCTGCTAACAATCATTTGACAGTTTTAAGATCACTCAACTAAGTGTATGATCTGGGAAATAATCAGCTGACTCTTTGGATATACTGAGCATGACCCTTTCTGTCTAAAGTTAACTCTCTCTGAGATGGATACCAACTCCAATTGTCCGTCTCAGAGTGGTGTCCGCGTCTTACTAGTATATAGAGTTTAGTTACAGTAGAATGATTGGAAAACTGCAGAGAACAGACCATCACCCGGTGTCCGCCTTACCGGTAGAGTTTTTAGCCTAATAGAGAGTTTAGTTACAAGGTTGTACGTCGAGTTCTAACATCTTTATAGTCCAGCGAATTTCAATAACTATTAACAAAATTGATTACTGAGAAGCCGCCTGCCCCATGAAATCTCTCTCGACAAATATAAATCCTAGCCAATGTTTAATAACAATTTCGAGAATACAATCCTAACAGACAAACAACCCACCTCGGGTTCGTACTGTGTGACTGTAGACAGGCCAGAACCTCTGAAAAGATAGGAATCGTTACCCATGGATCCTGCAGGTGTAAAGATGGAGGACAGGGCACTGTGGTGGTAGGTGTAGATATCAGGGGAGGGGTAATACTGTGGATACTGAACGTTATGAAGGGGGTTACCATTGAAGGGTGCAGCAGCTGTCAGACCGTGACTGGATCCATGCGCTGTAGGAATGGACGGCAGTGCTAACATTGGATCAGCTACAAGAAGAAATACGGATCCCACGTCACATGATGGTATAAAGGAAACCATCGATTTCACACTGATAGACTTCTGGGCCCAGTTGTTCGAAGGCCGATTAGAGCTTAACCCGGGGTTAAAATTAACCCCGGTTTCTTTTTCTTGTGTTCAAAAGTATTTTCTCGGATGATTTTCTCTGTTATTTTTACTTCCAATAATCAGCTTGTAGACAAAAAGAATTAAAACCGAAATGCTTTTTAAGCTTTCAAATCTGAATTCAAATCTCGCACTAACCCTGGGTCAACTTAACCCAGCTTCGAACAACTCGGCCCTGGAACATTTATTCTTCCTTAATGTTATGCCCCCTTGTTTTACGAAGTAAGTTTAAATAATAAGTGCAAACAACGCCCACTTTAGGTAACACCAGAAAATGTCTACATCGGAACAAGATCTTTTCCTTTTAAACTTCCTCAGTGACTGTTTTAACTAATAACACGCTTTTCGTTTCTGTATATGTACCAGTAATAAGGCCTGGTCCGTCTAATATTCATACCGGATAGTACTACGTAGAGTACCTTTTTGGTCTATAAACAGACTAATGAATAAACATAACCGTGTAAGTCCGATTTCTTTCACCTAAATTACGGACGGGATGTGACAACAGCAACTTGTTGCACGTCTAAACCGCAATAATTTAAAAAGAAGGAAATCTCACAAAGAAAACTGACGTTTGACTGCAACGAACTTATGTACAACTTTTTATTAGTGCTCAAGGAGTTAATCGCCAATAGGTTTTGTTACATCTGTAATTGGGAAGGTAGGGAACTGAGGGGGGAGGGGCTAGGAGACAAGAAACCTTACCAGTAGGATCAGGAGGCGCTAGAAATGTTCCCACGGTGTCTTGAATGTCAGCGAAGAATGGTGAGTCGTGAATACTGAGGCGAGTCTCTGCCGAAATCTGTGCGAGTGGTAAAGGAAAACAAGAGTTGATGAGCCTGGTAGTGGAGAGTGGCACTTGCCACTCTCTAAACGCCTAGAACAGGCTAACAGTTGATGAGCCAATAGGATGATTGAGTAAAACGAACCACTTCTGTTCGTAATGAAAACAAGACTATACAACGACAGAACCTCATGTCTACTGTTGACTGGTTTGATCCAAGCCTCAAGCTCCATATTTGCTTAAAATGCGGGCGTAAAAAACATCTCAAAGATCCACATTTTCTCCCGGCTTGTATAAACTCCACGTACGAAAATCAGCAAGTTTTTTCAAAGTGCACGATTAAATCGACTTCCCGAACAGGTAGGTACAAAAGTCGGACCGGATCAACTCGGATCCACTTGGACCAACTCCGATCGAATAAAAAAAAAAAAATTGGACTCGGATCAACTTGGAGCAATCAAAAAAATTAAATTAAATCAGCAAAACTGAAAGTTTAACCCATTCGGAGGGTAAAAAAGGCCAGATCATCCTTTTTTTCTCCGTGGCTTTCAGGCGCCATTTTGTTTTACTAGTGCCAGTTTCTCTCGGATCATGTTATAAACTCGTGGTTGTGGTTGCGTTATACGACGCGCTCTGCTTCACAGATATGGATGACCTCGAGGAAGGTAAAATCTCGACCATCTTTCTCAATGAATTTGCTTCATTCTAAGAAAATGATAGTTTCATTCGCCTAGAATATATATTTGCTTATTCTTTTATTTTATTGCAGCTTTTTGTCACAAAGCAAAGAAGTTGAGGTGAGCGTGATCATAAGTTATGCGTATAATTTTTGATTAATAAATGCACTGAATTATTTACGAGAAAAGCATCAAAAGCCTGGTCTGTTGATCGCATTTAGATAGTTACCGAAGAGTGTTTGTTTGTTTGTTCCTGTTTTTTTTTTCTGCAGGACTTCTGAAACTTAATTTTAATGATACACTAGTGAGCAGCACACATACATTTCCAGGGAACATTTTCAACCTGGAAGGAGGAGAAACCATGCTTGCCCGGGACAAAGGAAATTTCCATGCCCCGGGCAAGAATTGAACTCGCGACCCTCCGGTTCAGTGGTTGGAACGTCCAATAAACGTGTAGTATTCGGAGGGTCGTGAGTTCAATGCTCGCCCGGGGTACGAAAATTTTCGTTGTCCCGGGCGAGCATGATTTCTCCTCCTTCCAAGTTGAAAATGTTCACTGGAAGTGTATGTGTGCTTTTTCTTTTTATAATTCGAGTTGGTTTTTTTTATGATCCGAGTTGATCCGAGTCCAATTTTATTTTATTTCTATTTTTTTATTCATCCGAGTTGGTCCGAGTCGATCCGAGTTGATCCGACCTAGATTGGCGGTCCGAGTTGATCCGGTCCGACTTTTGTACCTGCCTCTTCCCGAACGGTAAAAAACGTATAATGAAGGAAACTTCAGGTCGTTTCCAAATACAGAGGTATTTCCGAAACGGATTGCAGTCCGTTGCAATATTGTTCGGACAGTAACTTCCACAACTAAAAGCCATCGTTGTAAGAGAACCGTCGGTTTCAGGATGACTTAGCTCACTTCTTAAATGAAGTGAGCTAAGAGCCTTAAGACCACAGAAATAACTTGTTATTGTTGGTAAGACTTATGTTCAAGGTTGGGGGGGGGGGGGGAAGACGAGGTCTGGGACCGAGAAACGATGTTCTCACAACTTGCTAAGCGGAAGCTAGGCTGAAACTACGAAGATATTACAAAACACATTTCCTGTGCCCTCAGTTTCAGTTTTTAAGTGAACTCTCGAAAAGCTGAAGAAAAACCATACGTTTTTAAACGCAATGTTTTTTTTTCAGGTTTTTTCCCCCAGAATTAACCAAACTCAAGAAATACTATACTCTATTTTCTTTTGCCAAAGTTGGTGACCAACCTGTTGCTTTTGCGTCTGTGATTCATTTGATGAGTGAGAAAAGAGACTGGGGTACATCTTTTTCCAAAAGTCTTCTGGTGGCCTTTCATGTTAAGGCTGGGGGTTCCCGTCATTATACTACAACAAATCACAAAATAACACTAGCACCATTCAACTTTTAACGCAACGTTTAAAAGATCGAAAGTGTAGTCTAGATTTTAAAACCTTTCTTTAAGTGATAAGCAATTAAAGGGTAAAATTAACCCTAGGGGTTAACTACTATGAGATGGGGACTTGAATGCTCATCGGACAATTAGAAATTTACCCTTGACCCTTTAAGCCCCGATATCCAAATAAAAATTCTCCACACTAGTGTCCATACATTGCTTTATAGAATTAGTTGAGAGAACTTAATAAAAGTTGAAAGTACTTCTCAGTTGTTCATCACTTTATTACTTCTCCTAACCTTTTCTTTTGATAATGTTTTGATATTGCTAAGAGAAAATTCATGTTGATCACTATTGGGACTTAAAGACCAATCTGAGAAAAGCTCAAGCTGATTCCACGCCGAAAAGAGGTCATTTCTACAACACATAGTCAAAGTAATACTATAGAAATTTCTGCTTGCGACAATGACGTTTTTCTTCTTTAATTTAGTTATATTTAGGACTAAACAAGATATCTTAGTCATTTTGCAATCGTTCCGAGGCCTTCTTCAGTTCAGTCTTAAAATCCGCATGCCCTAAACAGTAATTTCGTCCTGAATGGTCTTGCGTGTACTGCCGCGCTAAAAAACTTTCTAGTGATTGTCACAAAATTAAGGCTGCTTTTCACTAGCAACAGAGTCGGAGTCGGAGTCGGAGTCGGAGTCGAAGTCGTAATCAAAAGCGTAGACCTTATGATCTGGTGAAAACAGCGTTCCAATTCCGCTTACGTTCCGCTTTTAATCTAGTGAAAACCAGATTGTCAGAGTCGGAAGCAGAAGCGGAAGAACCAAACAAATCACAAAGCGTGAGAACGTGCATCGGGTTTGGTTTATCCTTCTGCTTCTGCTTCCGTCTTCAACAATCTGGTTTTCACCAGATCATAAGCGGAACGTGAGCGGAGTCGGAAGAAATGGAAACGTTCTAATATCTTCTGACTCCGATTCCGTCGCCCTTATGACTCCGTTTACGACTCCGATTTTTGATTTAATAGTGATTAGAAATTACGTACATACAGAATAAGCAAGGGCCTCAAAAAACTAAAGTTCTCTTGAAAAAATATGAAAAAGAGGGGCAAATGACAAAACCAACAAAAAATACATCTGACTTCTTGGACGCACGTCAGTAAAGGTACCCGCAGCTTAAAGACCACATTCTACTTTTCAACCCCTAAAATTTGTATGCAAGACTTTCAAAACAGCAAAATCAAACGATATACTCTAAAAATGTGCGAATTAATGAAGTCCTTGGAGCCCTTTCTTCTATTACTCTTGGTCTGATAAAATTCTCACAGATCAGTTTTTCCTTGGTGGGGGTTGGGAGGGGAGGCGCAGAAAAACTTGCGTCTGCGTCTGAAGAAACGCTTGCTGCGCTGCCAAACAAAAGGCGGGAAAATTCTTCCTCGTGGGTAGTTATATAACCAATCAGCTGTCGCCACGTCACAAGCCTTCTCTCACGCCACTTTGAATGACAGTTTGTTGATTTTGTAGTTTGTTGTTATTGAGTTTGCTTCACAAAGAAGTCAGCATTTAACTTCGCAGGAAACCTTGTTATAGTCGTGAAATTCACGTTTCAAAGCGTATTTAGAAACATTCGCCAAAATCCTAGAAACGCCAGCGCGAGGTCGCGAGGAGTCACTCGAGCTGTATTCTATCCTTTGAACTGACTGGTTAACATCAAAACAAAAGGTTTACGTCACGGAAATCGTTTTGACCCGCTCGAGTTCGCAGACGTTACTTTTCGGGTGGAGAGAAGCGAGGACCGGAAATATGTCTTTGTCCCCAGGCTAATAGCCGACAATAGCCGTACGCAATTGTAATGAGATCTCGTTGCACAAATGCGGTGCTTCCGCCTAAAATTCCCCTACCCAGAGTTCACCAGCACCTTATAACCTGGGTGGCTATAATGAAATGCCTGAGTTTGATCCAAAATTAGAGCGGTTTTCACTTGACTGTCGTAAAACCAAAACCAAAGTAAATACACTAGCCAACCAAAACACGTAGTAAAACCCAAACCAAAACCAAAACCAATCCCAATTCGACAGTCAAGTGAAAACCGCTCTATACGAGGACTTGCGTTTAATAGCTCAATTCCGATATATGCCAAGTTCCAACAATAATAATAAATTTGTTTTTATCGCGTCATTAATGAGGATTCCGTCCCCTATTTGCCTACGCCTGATCGATACAACATTTAATCACGTAACCTGCACTCTTCTGCAGCCAGGGTATATTTTCGTGGTGTGAATAGCCTGCAAGCAAGCTCTCCCGAGGAGAACCCCGCCGGGAGAGCTTGCCCGTAGGCTACGGTATGAACTGAGAGTTAGTACTAAGCCGTCTTGTAAGAGCCTCAGTTATTGATTGATGATGAGTCATCTGCAAAGAGTGAAATAGTGCTGCCATTATACTTGAAAATCACTGATATAGACCAGGAAAAGGCACCAGAATGCTCCCAGTACATAGCCTTTCTTCATGTTTTAAGAAGATTATTAAACCTACCATCTTAAAATTGCTGTTCCTATGTGCTTTGTTTCTTTAGACTTTTCTTTCCTAAGAGACAGTTCATTTTACCGCAATTTCTCTAACAGAATATACAAATATTCTAGAATTCTGGACGGTAAAATGTTTGAAAGGAAAAACTTTTAGACGCTTTTTTTAACCGAAAAATTTTCAGGTCGAATATTGTGTAGTTAAAGTACCTAAATGCATGCTATATTTAAATAAGAGTTATCGACCAGATATTACGATTACGGACTTGATGGACGAGTCCTAAGATATTTGACCTATGAACTAACAGTTAATCTTCATGACCCCCTCTTCATTTTGTGGTGATGTTTTCAGTTGCAGCTATAATCCTATAAGAGGAAAAAATGTAGTTGTATATATTTTAATACAAAAAATTCTGTAATTTGTTAAACAACTGGTTGCTAGGTTGGTGTTCTCTATCGTGTCTATGATCTTTTATAGCCCGAAGGAAAATTAAAAAAAGAACACGTTATCACTCGTAGGATTAATAGTTCTTGACAATTAGCGGTGTAATTATTTTCGTCAGAAAGAAGTCCGATAAACTATTATAACCTGTGCAAGATAGCATCGCTTTTATTGTTTGAAACAAAGTAGTAATAGGTGATGTTTGGGCAAGCTACAAAGAAATTAATTTTCGCATGATTTCTCATGCATTGACACAACTGGATTTAGCCACAAAGGAAATTAACTTTCGCATAATTTGTCTTACGTTCAACTGGAATAAAAGGATTCACGCTTATTGAAGTAAGTCTGTTAAAAAGGCTAAGGAAGTCCCAGAAAATAGTTCCTGGTAACTAAAGGTACGTTATATCAGCTACCTTCTATTTTGAAAGTTGTTAGTTAGCATAACGTCTTTTTAAATACTGTTTGCATGACCGTCTCATCAACACCCAGTTTTTTTTATTACGTTTTTTTACTTGGGGGCAATTCTGGCCTGACCGAAGTAATTTCATCAAAATGTTCACAAAGCATTTTCCCAGAGACACTGATGAATGAGTAACTTTTCTACGGTCCTCTATAATGCTGGTCAATGAGGTGAAAATTTTACTTTATAGCTTCTGTTACAATCTTAAGCTGTGAGCATTCAAACGAAGCATATTAGGCGGTTCATTCAACTTAACAAGAGCAATCAGAGTTGAGACTCAATTTAAGGAAAGTTTCGTCCTTCAAATGAACGCTGTACTGTACTCCAGGGAATTCTGCAACCAATAATAATAGTGATGAATTAATATATTATTAATATCTAGTTTATTACTAGTCATTTAGCCTGAGTATCAGGCCTTCCTAAGGGGCTAGGGGAGAGGAGATTTTAGATGGGGGAGAGGGAGGGGGAGAAGAGAAAGGAAGGCCTGACACAAAACCATTCAGCAAACCGTGTGACAGATCCAAAATCTGAATGTGGCAGTGATTGGATAACACACAATACCCCCTGACGTCACCGACCGCAAGAGCGATCGGCAAGAAGCAATTGACATTTTTCATAGATGTTTTGATTTCATGTTACCGGTATGTAATACTTTTATGGACAGAGGGGACGCAGAGAGGAATTCAAAATGGCTCTAGAGGGCGCTCTCAAGTTCTTTCCTGGAATAAAAATAAAATCCGAGCAAGAATTGTGTTTTCAAGGCCTCGTAGTTTAAAGGAAAGATGTACTCGGAGTATGGAAAAGCCTCATATACCAGCTTCTGCCGAAACTATGTCTGAGTATTGGTTTCAAAAGACCGGGACAAAGACGACGATATCAGTGTTTCAGATATCTAAGTTCTGATTTACAACATCCTGCCGTTAAAAGGG